TCTCTGCGTCAATTTAGAAAATGGTATGAACTAAACAAGCCTTAAAAAGTTATAGAACTAGATTAAAAATTACGAATTTAGTGCTTGCTTTAGAAGTAAGAAATTCAGTATTCATTGCATATTTCGCCTTATCAGTAAAGATGTGAGATCAAAAAATTCTGAATCCATTACTGGAATTTCTTTTCTTACCTTCTTAGTCAAATGGTCTTCCTCGGTGTTCAGAGCTGTTACTTTCTAGTCTATTCTTCCGCGGTGTGACAAGACCAACAGGTCGTTTAGGGCATCTAAAATAAAATATATATACATAAAAAAAAAAAGCTTTCTAGTGACGTTCTAATTTTAAAACTAAAAAGAAACAAGATTACAAACTTATCTTTTAAAAAGGTCATTACTACAAAACTATCATCATATTTTTAAAACTAAGTTTACTATATTAATTTTAATCCAAATGCTTTATTAATATTATTATTGTAATTATTGGTATTGTTATTATTATTATTATTGTTATTTTTATCATTATCATTATTATTTTGTTAGCAATAAAAACCACGCTAAAGCGTTTCATGGCGACATTTTAGTGTAGAAAGTCGTAATTTTGTGACGTAACATTACCGACAAAATCAAAACGCCAACTGCAACCGCTACGTCTGAGCAAAAAATATTCGTAATGCAAATGTGTGAACTCAGGGTCATCCCCTACTAGCGTTTTAAAGTTCTAGGCCGGAGCCATGGTAAAATCAGACTTTAGTGTCAAGTTTTCCCGGGAAATGGGAACTTTTTGAGTTTAATTTTCCCAGGAAATTAGGAGTAGAACGGTAAATTCCAATAATCTCTTGAAATTTTAAGATCATTCCGTTACTAGTAACAATTTTCCAGGGAATTAGTACTTTTATAGAACACCTAATTTTAATTGCGAGAATTTTGTAAGAGATGTTTTTTCAAACTGATGATCAAAAGGTTGTTAAACCTTTGATAACCAGAAATAATATAGATTTGCAGTAGTGTTGGGTGGAATGGAATGTTGCTTTTTTTTAACATGTGTTACTTTACTTTAACAAATGAATCGTACAAGGCATTTTCATATTTTTTATTCAACGAAAATATTTTCTTTAATAAAAATTTGAAATTTAATTCAAGGAATATACTAAAGTATTAAGGTGGTACACCACCAAATATTCAAAAATGGGTCTATTCAAACACGATAACTTGAAATATATTGACACGAAATTCATGAAATTTTTAATATACGTTCTAGACATGTAAGGTAAGGTATTGACATTTGGATTTTAAGATTTTCAAAGTACATAATAAATTATATCAATTTTTTTACATCAAGTAAAAAACAAAACTTTTTTAGCCCTTAAAATTACAAAAAATAAAAGGTTGGAGATAAATTTAAAACATCTATTCCCTAGAAAAGAGTATAATAAACATTTCTGGAAAATTTGAAGTGATTTGCAATTCTGCTACTCAAGTGATCAAGCTTCAAGTGATACTTCTGCTTCTTAAGAAATCATTTTTACAATAAGACAATGTTTCGCAAAATTTGAAAACGAAGAAAAACGCAAAAGAAGATTACATATTCTTGTCATTCCAATATCAATTTTTTTTAGTTAATTTATCGAAAAATTAAAAAATAAGTTGGAATAAGCTTTTTATTTTATTAATCTACTATAAATTGTATATAAAATGAGTGAAATATCAAAAATTTAATTTTTTTTTCTATTTTTAGAAAATATTTGGTGTTATGCCACCTTAAAAATATAAAAATAATGTATAAAGTAAAATTAATGGAGTAAAGTAAATAGCAAGTCAATGATTTTTTCAAAAATACATTGCCAATAGAAACAAGTAGTTGAAAGTTAATTGTAAATCACATTATAAAAATTAAAAATCTATTTTCTAATCAAAACATGTAAAATTTATTTTGTTGCTTAAAACATGGACTGGTTTTTTTAGTGTTAGGAAAGGATATAAGTGAGCGTCTGTCAAGCATTTCATATTATTGATTGCGCATTTCATTCACAACAAACCGAATATCAACGAGAGATTTTCCATGAAACAAAATACTAGCATAATCCAAAGCAAAGATACCACAGTTAAAACTATTGGCCTGCTTATCAATGGGAGGAAATATTACTTCAAGCTTTTCATCCTTCACAAAATATTGAAAGAGGGATTTTAAACATGTTTTTGAACTCGACGTTAGGTTATTAAGCAGGCTGTTACACACATAAACCCTGCCACGCAGGGTTTCTGTGTGTAACAGCCTGCTTAATAACCTAACGTTGATTTCAAAACCTCGTCAATCATCACGCAATAACTGAAGATGATTGAAAACTGGGAAGTAACCAACTTTTTTTTCTGGCAGTTTAATATCAATTGGTACGTTTAAAGGCTACCAAGAGCCTTACAAATTAACTTTTGTCCTGCGATTATTATTCAATTAACCGTCTTTACTTTCCAGGATTTCTCTATTTGCTTCTGTGAGCTCATAGAGCTCATTCTTAAGCCATAAAGACTTAACTTTCGATGATGATTTGTTTGGCTGACACACTTTCGTTTTTTCAGAAGATTCGATCTATAGTATACCAAGAATTTTTCAAAGGTGTCAAGAAAAGCAGAGAAGATTTCCATTTTTTTATCACCGATGACACTTGATAGTTGTCTAATCTCGTTTTTATTTTTTCTGCGCAGCGTTAATATTATCGGCCGTTTTATCAATAATTTTTGTTCTGACTTTCATCACTAATTAAAAGATGACATCAAAAATTTAAGATTGAATGGCTGCTCTTCATCTGCATCTCCTTCTCTGTATTCTTGCTTTCATCTATATCCAGGTTATGCTTCGCATTAATTGACAAAACTGGATCGCGTTATACATCAGCATAAATGGAGAATAGTTGGTAGAAGAATGTTGATTAACGCGATAAGCAAAAAGAATACCCTCAATAATTTGCAGCCATATTTCAGGATTTCCTTCCAAAACCTTTACCAAAAAGTTCTTTATTGTTTGGTTTTGATGTTCTACCAATCCATTCCCCTGCGGGTGATAAGCAGATGTAGTTCTCTATTCTACTCAAGTTAATTCATGTAGTTGTTTACAAAGCTCATTTACGAATTCCCGACCTTGATCATTGATTTGGATTTTAAAGTACCCATACCGACACATTACCTCGTACAAAAACGGAGCAATATTTTGGGCTGATTTTTCCTTGATCAGTTTGGTTTTTGACCATTTTAAAAAATTGCTACATTAACCACTGGAAGGTTACAGGTATCCACCCCAACTTGTTTCATAAAACTTGATTGTACTGGTATTGATTTCAATTCTACTTTCGGAGACTTTAGGTCATCTTGTTTATGGCACTGTTCGCAATTCTTTGCATATTCACTGATATCAGCAGCAAAAATATTATGTTAGAAAAATATTTGCAAAGCGTTTTGTTGCTCTTCGAAAGTTTGATCTAAATTTCATAACTACATGTGGGTATTGTAGAAGGTTATATTTTATTTCTAAGTTATTCTTTTATCTCATCGAAATTAAAATGTTTTCTTTCCTTCGCCATGAAGCAGCATTGATGTGCTTATTATCATTATTATTGTCAAAACTATTGTAAAATGATTTACGGAAAATAAATAGCTTGTTTTTGTTATTGTTTTATGTGTGAATATTGTTTGTTTATTTAAGTAAAAAATTACATAGCGTTTTATTTTAACATGCATTAACGCTCAAATCGACTTTGATTTACAATAAATTGACTTCTTTGTACATTTTCTTCGCGATTTGTAAGTCATATTTTTAAAAGTCTCAATTTACCGCTCAATCATATTTGTGACCTCGCGGTAGAAAAGGGACCAGATAGGAGGAATGAGTTATTCATACCACATAAACAAACTAATTAAACTAAACAAAATGACACCAAGGTCTTCAAAATAGCTCAACTGGATACAAAGTTACGATTTTTTATATTCTAAAATTTAAAAACGGCAATTGTCGGGAAAATCAGTTTAAAGTTTTAATAAAAATGTTATTTGCAATATGCAATATTGCGCTATCATATCTTGATACCTACAGGGGTAAGCAAAATGTTTTGAAAAAATACAAAAGGCTTGAAATATTGATAGCATTGTAAAATGCTATTTTCACGGCAGTATTAAAAAAATCGATTAGTTCGAAAACATCTTTCGATAAAAAATAAAGTCGCTTTTGGCTTTATCCTTTTTTTTTGTTGTTGTTGTTATTTAGGTGCCCTAAGAAGACTTAAAGGTCTTGTCACAGAGCACCGCGGATGTGCATTTAACCATAAATTTCACACCTCCTTCCTTACCGTGACACGAAAATATGTCTAAGGCTCGTTTCGAACCTGGTTCTCCTGCTTATAAAGCAAGCACTCTAACCACTGCACCACGGCCGCACTATATGCCGTCTATCTTTGATAACTGTGATGAGGCAAATTTAAGTTATTAGATTTATTAACATCGTAAAGTAATAACAGCTCTTCATTATTTATTATCTTATCAGAATGAAAAATAAGGTACTATTTTTTTTTTAATTTTTATTTTAAGTTGATTAAGGTGCCCAAAGAAGTCCTTACGGTCTTAGCACAGAGCACAGCGGAAGAGCATTTAATAGGAAGTTCGCGCCTCCTTCCCAACCGATGTCGCAAAACTTGCCCAGAAGTGGGGTTTGAACCAAGGATCTTACGTTTCTGAAGCAAGTGCGCTACCACTGCGCCACGGCTGCTCAATATGCAGGTACTCATTACGAACCTCGGATAACTATTTATAAAAAAATTATTTTAAACTTTGCTTTTTTATTGTGATGTCGCACCTAATAAAATTTTTATTTCAAAATTATAAGCATTTATATACAAAAAAAGTCATACAGAACAATACAAAAGTTTTTATTCGGTGACTTTTTCATAGTTGATTTCGTAACGATATTTTACTTAAAACGGCTACGACAACGATGGTTTAAAAAATTATAACTACTACTTTTTCGTTGAAGTTGGCGTTTAGATTTCGTAAATCGCTATTAATCGTAATAACGCGATCAAGGTCAAACAACTTTAACAACAAAGCCACGTGTGTTTTTTTGCCTTATTGCGTTATTTAGACTTATTTTTAAAAATAATATTTTATGTTATTTTAGTTTTATATTTAGTTATTTATAGTGATATATTTACTATTATTTTATAAATTTTATTATTATAGATTTATTTAGTGGGAAAGCATGCCTGAAGGCCCTGAACATTACTTAGCAAGTGACTTTATTAATCAGAGCTGCAATGGCAAAATATTTTCGGGAAACGTTTTAAAGTCATCTGTTACAAAAAATCCATGCATTGAATTGCCATTTAAACATTTTCTAATTATTGCTGAATCGAGAGGAAAAGAATTAATGTTAAAACTATCTGAATTTTATGAAAAAGATATAAAAATGGATCTTGAATTACATAATCAATCTATCAAGTTTGAGGAGATAAACGTCGAAAAACAGGACCAAAGTACTTTTCAAAATAAGATATTGTCTGAAGTAAAGATCTTGTTTCAGTTTGGAATGTCTGGAACGTTTACTTTTACTTCTGAAGCAGATATACCAAAACATTCGCATCTAAAATTTTATACATTTGAAGAACCAAAAATGGTTTTAAGTTTTGTTGATATTAGAAGGTAAATCAATAGCTAATTAACATTAAACTTTATTTTTTTATAAATTGTATATACATTATGACGAATAATTCTTTTTAAAAGGCACTGCTAAAGCAACTAAAAGTATGAAAGCAGCCAAAAAATTTAATAATAAGCTATTTCCTAACTTTAAAAAAATATAAGTTATATCTAAAACTGTTCAAACAAAAATCAATAAACAGCTAATTTTGAATCAGGCAGAAAATGGATCATATTAATTTTATTAAATATTTTAAAATGAATTTAGATTCTAGTTCATCATTTGTATTGCATCTTTAAGTTTTGCAATCCAAAGTAAAATCCAAAATAAAAAGTAAAATCCAAAATAAAAATACAGTATTAGACAGATTAAACAAAATATTTGTGAAAATCCTGCATTATGTCAATCTACTTAAAATATGTCATGCCATTTTTCACTCTCATCTTACGCTTTCAAATTTAAAGGTTTCAGCTTTTTAATTTTTTTAATTTATGGTTTTCCAAATGATTAAAGTTAAACTCAAAAACAATTTTTTATATATTTTTTTATTTTATATTTCATATTCTAAATTTTTTTGGTTTCTCCATGCAATGGGTTTGCTTTTCCATGCAGTGCGCTTGTTTCTCCATGCAGAGGGCTTGTTTTTTCTATGCAGTGGACTTGTTTCTCCATGCAATCGAGTTGTTTCAACGTGCAGTGGGCTTGTTTCTTGTTGCAGGGGACTTGCATTTTCATGCAGTAGACTTAATTAACAGTTTGTTTTTTAAAAGTTAAGGGTTTTTTAAGAGTTAAGGGTCAAAAGGGAAAGTTTCTAATAAATTTAAAAATAATAAAAATACATTAGTAGATTAATGTATTATTATTATTATTCATTTTCAAAAAGCTGCACTTTTAAAAGTCTGCACTCTTTATTATGATATTTCTGATAAAATTGATCATTCTTTTAATCCATCTTCCAATATTGTTATTATTGGTAACTTTAATGATCATACTGAATGACTTACCGCTCCTACTACTAATTCTGCTGTCAATAAAACATTTTCATCTTTCTTAATTTTTATTACCTAGATTGTGACTTGTTTTTAGATAAACCTAATCACTTACAATTGCTCCTTAATTTATGTCTATCTTCTACACTACACCCTATTAATCTCCTACACTACACCCTATTAATAATTCTACATCCTATTAATAATTCTAACACTCAGTTAATAATTCTACACCCTTTTAATAATTCTGCACCCTATTAATAGTTTTACACCCTTCAACAGTTATTGGACCTCTTACTACTACCTAAGATGACTGGGATTTCATTAATGTTTTTATTTGTGATGATTGTTGAGCTGATATATTTTGTCTCTATTCTGAAAATTGTGTCTCCTTGTCATATTTTTTCTTGACTCAGATGGTTATATAGGCTTTATTCCCTCTCGTCAGTTCAAATCAAATCTTAGTCAATTCTATGATTTTCTCTTTTTCAGCTTTAACCATTTCTTTTATTTTTAATTGATTCTTTTTAATTATTTCTTTCTTTTTTTTTTTTTTTTAACCAAAACAACAAAAACAACTTTCTTAAGAATAGTTGTCTATTTTGTTTATGTTTTTTTTTAAAAGAACTAGTTTAGAAGACCAGAAATAGAGGGGAAAAACTATATATATATATATATATATATATATATATATATATATATATATATATATATATATATATATATATATATATATATATATATATATATATATATATATATATATATATATATAATTAATAGATTGCCTGCTCAAACCAAAACCCTCATACCGAACCAAGTGTCGCTTTTTAATCTAAATTCGATTTAAAAAAAATGGTTCAAGTTTTTCCAATTACAACTTGTTTTATAATTAATGTTGTTTTTTCAAATATGAACACTATGATGCTATCAAAAATTTAATTGGTTTTTACATGTCACTTTTGTCACTTTTTAAAGACATGTAAATAATTCAAAAAAGTGTTTTCACAATTTTTTATAAAAGTACTTGATGAACAAAAATGATTAGAGAAAAATGAATAGAGAATTGTTGTAATATAAAAAAACATTTTATTTATTAGGGTGATTTTTTTTTATATGGAAAAGTTTTTTTTTTCAAATTTTTAATCGCACAACCTCTTATTTGGTGAGGTTTGTTATAAAAAGTATACAGTTAAAATTTTTTTGCTGAAAATAGGAAGTGGTCCCCCAAACCCTATTTCGGAATCCTAAATTTATTATATTACAACATAGTTTACAGAAGGCTGGAAAGTTAAAGACAAGCCAATTAGATTAACCCCCTCAGCATTATTTACCCGAAATTGCTCCTAAATGACTATTTTGATTTCAAAAACATTTTATTTGCTATAATTTCAAGTAAACTTTTTCTAAGTAAACTTTAGCTCAGAAATTAAATTTGTATAAATTTAATAATAGTTATGACATGGTCAGCCATTGTTGGGTGGGAAAGGGTAAGGAAAGATTTGGGGGGGGGCAGGTGTATTATTTAAGACCTTTAATTTTTTTATTATGCTTTGAGCATTTTATAATTATTAAGTTTCTGTTATATTCTTTCTTTTATAGTAAAAAAGTATAAAAATATTACATAAGAAGATGACTGCTTCAAACAAAGCAACACGCTCAACTACAAATGTTTGGCTAGTTGGACATATTCTCTCCGCAATAGATGGACCAAGTCAGTTGCCAACAAGTGGTGTTGCACTAGTTAGAGTTTTTTATGAAATGATAGTCAAAAAGTCAACTCTTTCAATATCCTGCAACACAGTTACAGACAAAGTTATGATTTTCTGGCTTAAGGCTAATATTCCAACTATAGCAAAGCCTCATGTAGTTGTTAAACTAAAGAGTATTCACAAGCAACATGTTCAAGTGTCTAAGTACAGAAGTAGAAAATCAGCTACTCAACACAGCTATGATGAATGAAGATAAACAATTTCTGATAGACCAGAGAGGCTCCCGAAAGATGTTAATGACATTGGAAGACCTAATGTATAAGAAAGGCAGTTGTAAAATACAGAAAACGCAAGCTTGAAGAAAAAAGACGCTATGAACAACATAAAGTAAAGTTAAATCTACAAAAACATTAATTGATGACAATTCAGATAACTCTTTGGATGAAAAAACTGTGATGCGTTAATTCAAATACAAAAAGTTTTTAATCGTTGAAAAATTTAAAAACATTCTACTATGGGCACTAGTCAACTCTCAATTACAATATCCAAATGTTGTATTCTTGGCAATCAGCTCTTTCATGCAGCATTAGACCGAACAAAAATAACACCACAACAAGCAATGATGGTTGTCACACCAGCTCTAGCTGAAATCGGTATTACTCTAATAGAAGCTCAAATTACATCTCGCGAATCTCTTTCAATAGCAGTAAGAAAAGATTATTAACCCTTGGTTCCGCTAGTTGCTCATTTTGATGGTAAAATATTATTGTATGTTAATGGAACCAGACGCAAATGTCTGCCAATTGTTATCAATTGTATCTAGCTTGGATATTGAGAAATTACTTGGGATCCCTTAGATACCTGCTGGTACTGGTGCTCTGATGGGACAGAAGGTAGTTGAGTTCATTCATGAATGGTGGAGCATCTTGCAGGTCTTTGCTTTGACATGACTGCAAGTAATACAGTAAGTTATAATGGGGCAATAAATGTCATACAGAAGTCAATGAACCGAAGAGTTTTGTTTTTAGCCTGTCGACATCATATTCTTAAAATCTGTGCAAATGCAGTGTTTGATACATTTTTTGTATCAAAAGGACCAAACAGTGATCTTTTTGGTAGAGTGAAGTCCAAGTGGGAGTTGATAGAAAAATCAAAGTTTAAACCACTAGAAAGTGGAACTGGATGTCTTACAAAGCTTGAAAATGAGTAGCTTTCATCTTGAAAATCCGATGTGGTGGAAAATTATAAAAAAACTTAAAGGACACTCAACCACGTGATGATTATAAAGAGTTTGGGCGACTAGCTCTTCTCCTTTTGGGAGAAAATAATGATACAACAAGTGTTTGCCCTCCTGGGGCTTACCATTGTGCAAGATAATTGGCTAAAGGAATATACTGTTTAAAAATTTTTAGTTTTCGTCATCAATTAAATGTCACAGATAAAGAAATCTGGATTTTAAGAAGAATTCATCTCTTTATAACCACAATTTATGTATGTTTCTGGTTTTCAGCACCTCTCACAACAGAAGCACCAAAAATTTATCTTCTTTTAAAAGTAATCAAGAACTTTTGTCAAGTTGACAGCAAAGTTGCAAATGTTGCAAAAATTAAAATTAAACTTCAATTATGGTATTTAAGTGAAGATCTAGCTGCTCTCCCATTATTCAATGAAGAAATTTCTGTTGAAGAGAAAATGGAAATTGTATATGCCTTACAAAAAGAACCATTACCAGGTGACAATAGAAGGCTTGCTTCAAACAAGATTTATACATTCTCTAAACTTTCTATAGCTAACTTTGTTACACAACGCTTAATGAATTTGTTTGACTCTCTCAATCTTCCAAAAGAATTCTTGACATCGTCTCCTAAAACTTGGGCTAATCGTGATGACTACAAGGTTGTTTGTAAGATTGTTCATGCCATGAAAGTGGTTAATGACTGTGCAGAATGGAGAGTTAAATTAGCCACTGACTTTAATGAAGTTTTGACAAAAAAATGACAATCAGCGTCAGCTTCTTTACCAAGTAGTTGAATATCATAGAAAAAAAATTTCAGCTGAAGCTACAAAGAGACACTTAAGCATAATCATTCCAAATAACAACAATTTAATCTATTCAAATATGCATACATATAATATGAACTAAATATATAGTTAAGTACATATATGGCTATTTATTTTCTGTAGTATTTTAATTTAGTTAAATGTCAAGGTTTGATTAAATTATGAATGTTATTTTATTATAATAATTTTAAATATTTTTGTAATATCTTTTCTTGAACGTATAAAATCATTTTTTTCATTCGTTTAAAATTTTTACATTATTTTTTGTTATTTTTTAATTTATAAATTTGCATTAGGGCTGAGTTAAAAATGACTGGTAGAGAGGCATATGGGCCATATGCCCCTCTACCCGTCATTTACCTATATCTAGTTTGGGCATATGGGCCACTAGTACTCACAATTAAAAAAACTGAAGAGATGTTAAAAAATAAGAATCTTTTTCAAGTTGTTATAACAGCTTTTTGTATTTTTACCCTCCCCCCCCCCCTTCCCCTGCTACATACATTCATACACTTGTTTTCAATAGATTTCAATAGATTTCAGAAATATATTATTTTAGACAAAAATGGATTTAAAATTGTTAAATTAGCCCCTTTGTCGACACAAAGTTAGACTAGTTAGGCTGAGTTTTTCAAATGTGGTCTGACATATGTTGTATTGAGTATATGTGTTTGTATATATATATATATATATATATATATATATATATATATATATATATATATATATATATATATATATATATATATACACGTATATATACAAATAATTTTGAATGTATTCTACAAAATATAGAGAGTTCAATATTCCTAAAAGAATAAAGCAATAATAAATTAGTAAAAAATCACTGACAAATAGGTAAAACTTATGAGGAGTGTTGCTTTTTTACTGTAAAACATGCACAGAGTGTTACTACATCGACTATTTTATAGCCTGCTGCTACAAAGGAGTACTGCTACATAGAATATTCTATAGCCGCTATAAGAGAGTGCTGTTATATCAACTATAAAACTTTATTCAAGTTTTTAAATTTTTTTGGTCTGGTTTATTAGCATTCGATTTAAAATTAGAGGTTATGGAAGAAACTTTTCTACTACCTTGCATGACTATATATATGTGTATATATATATATATATATATATATATATATATATAATATATATATATATATATATATATATATATATATATATATATATAACATTTTACTTATTTTCATACTTTTTGTTTTGTTAGTTAATATGAATTAATGAAATATTATTTGCAGAATGTTTATTTTGATTAAAGGATTTTTCAAATAATTATTAAAAAATAATATTTATGTGGACCATCTTTCTGTTATATATTACTATTAATTTATAATAAATTATAAATTATAATAATATTTTTACCTTGTGTCCATTAGTAATGCTAATGGACACTAAAGTAAAGTTGTTTTTTGGTTCAGTCTGACATTAAATTCTGAATTGTAAACAAATTTTTTATTAAGAGCTATTCATATTAAGTTATTAATATATATTATATGATAAATCTAACCTTTTTAAAATATTCTATAACAAAGAGTTACAAATATGTTTGCAAATTTTTTGAAAACCAGTATAGTTAAGCATTTATTATGGTTGAGTTTCAATTTCAACTGTTGAGACTATGCTACTGCACATTTTCAATTGAAATCAATTCATGTTTAGGGGCATTCATAAAGTGCTTATGCAGTAAAACCACTGATTTAAGACCCCTCCCCCTTGTAGGTAGGGATGTTAAAAGCAACTCTTTGCTTTTAACATCCCTCCCTTTCCCCTCTGTTTACCTACACATTTTTATTAAATCAACCCGAAAACGAGAGTCAAATCTTATATGTACTTGCTGTCTTTAATACCCCCTCCATTCCCTTGTATAAATCCATATGTTTTTGGGTAACCCCCTCCCCATACCTGCATACATACTTTATGGTAGATCTCTTTACAGAATCATAAATTGTTTATCTGTTGTATTAAGAAAAATTGTAAACTATAATGTTTTCAATGTCTAAAAAAAATTAAAAAAATAGAAATTAAAAAATAAAAGAAATAACTGAGAATTGTGTTTCTTAATAAATTAATCTAAAAAAATTTAAAAAAACATAGTTATGATATTTAATTATCCATAGGTTTGGAAAATGGAAAATATCTGACAATTTTTCTGAAAACCGTGGCCCTGACCCTGTTCGAGAATATGCGCTTTTTAGAAAAAATATTATAACAAATTTAACTAAAAAAACATTTCAAAAATCAATTTGTGAAGCATTGCACGATCAAACATATTTTAATGGCATTGGAAATTATCTGAGAGCCGAGATTCTTTACCGGTTTGTTTAATTTGTTTTATATTTAAAATAATTGTTAAATAATTAGTATAACATTTTATTTATATGTTGGTGTTGCTAAGTTGCAATTTAGGTGCCAAATGGCTGACTTTTTTCATGGTTATTTTAGGTTTAACTAACTTCTTAATAATTTATTGAGTATTTTTTTAATAATATATCAAGTACAAGGCTCGAATTACTGTTAACGAAATGGTCAATTTATCATATTGCAAAAATAAATGAAAAAACAAAATAATAATTTTTCTAATGCAAAAATAATAGCAGTCAAAACTTACTTATTTTATTTTTTTAATTTATACCATTAGATTATTATTTTGTTTGTTTTCTTACAAGGTCTCTGCTTTGAATTAAACTTGTACTATTTGCTTTGTTCGTTCACAAAAATATTATTTTAATATTTATACTATATTGTTAATGGTATTTATCTTTTTGTGAAAAATGTATATTGATTGATTAAATACCAAGTAATTTAAGGATTATAAATAAAGAAAAAGTTGTAGGAAAAAAAATATTTACTAAGGTCTAAAAAATTTGTGCGGTAACATAAAAATTAACCAATAAAAAATTATACTATTTGCACATTGTATAAAATATTAAAATCAAATTTTTTTAGAAACTTGTTGAGAAACTTTGAGAAATTATTTATTAAAAAATTTAAATGTTTTAAATTAGAAATTAATTGATAATAAAAATAATAGTAAAAAAAAGTAGTTTTTTTTAATAATAATAATAGTAAAAAAAAGTGTTTTTTTGTTTGTTTAAAATAACTATAAATTGTTTAAATTAGCTTTTATATATTATTTAACTTCTTGTCTTTAATTTCATATACAATATGACAATATGAGACAGGAAAGCGTTACAATCATTTAATTTAAGAAAATATTGAAGTTTTGTTGGATAATAAGATTTAAGTAAGATAAAGTATTTGATAACTTATTTTGCAATTTCTTTTGTTTAAAATATTCGATTATTGAATTCCTTTAGACTGTTGTAATTAGCAGATATTTTTTTAATATTACATTGTACTGTATATATTATTTTTCTAGTTTTATTTGATGATTTATAAAATGAGTTAAACTATTAAAGTTTATTCATAGTTTTTAATAAAAATAGTAATAATAGTAATAATAATAATAAAAAAATAATAGTAATGATATGGTTTTATAATGCAATTTTATATCATAATTCAAGTCTAATATAAATATTTTTTATTAAATATTGAGTTTAGTAATAAAAACAGAGTTTACTGTTTTTATAAAGTTCAAAATTTAAAGACTGGTAGCAATTTCAGATAGATATCAAAATTTGCTATCACATAATTTGATTCTTAAAGTATATTATAATGTTTAATAAATATATGATACTAGCAGAGGTGCCCGCGTTGCTGGGCACTGGCAAAACAAATCAAAGTTGCTGATGTACAAAAAAAAAACCTCCCTCCAAAAATCAATTACTTGACCAAAAAACTCTCAATCCTGGGTACTATAAAAAAACTGCTGCACAACCTCTTGGTACACAACACTAAAAGTTCTTTCATTCGGGGATTTTAAATACACTGTACACACATCTTATATATATATTCATTCACAATATTCATTTGAAAAGAACAATGCCCCTGTACCAAGTTGACCACCACAAAAAAAAAAAGAACCAAAAATGAATTAGTTACCACCAAAAAACAATATTTCCTCACCTGTTCCCCGCAGCAACATGCAAAGAGCAAACTGAGCCTCCGAACTGACTCCCAGAACTGCAACCCCGTAAATGATGTGTTCACTTCAGCAACTCGGTAAAAACTGAGCTATGTGCTTCGGTGATCCACCTAAATCCCCATGGAAGGCTCCAGGCGGAGCTAAAGAGCACCACAGGAAATATCACCTTCCAGAGCATTCGGGAAAGCCCCCGAATGCTCTGGAAGGTGATAGAACAGCCACACTGTGCACTATGGAACATTCCAAAAAACTCTGCACCGCTCCGGAAATTTTGGCCCACTCCGGAAAAACGTGGAACATTCCAGAAAACTCTGGAAAACGACGAAACAGGCAACAGCAATCCATGGAACACAACAGAAACCGACAAAAATTACATCATAGGAAGCGCTCAACCCGTCCTCCATACCGTTCAGACCTTCAGCGACCCTCGTGTTCACACCCAAGGTCATCTGCACCCCACCCCTGGGGGCGAGTAACAACTCTGGCCCTATCTGGCCCCCCGACCCAGAAATGAGCATTTGAAAGCCCCTGCAACCCCGGGCGGCCTCCAGTGATCTCTGCCATCAACTTGACATAGCCTATGTCACTTCCTGAGTCATGGAGATCATCCATGCCAAATTTTAAGTTTCTTGGACCAACGGTCTGTTAACTGGAAACAAACAATCAAGCAATCAATCAGAATTGACAAATATATATAAGATATTAAATACTTGCATGTACATACTAAATGTAGATATTAAATGCATACATATACATGTATGTTAATAGTTATAATATATAACGGTTATAATAGTTATAATATATAATGGTTATAATAAAACTAATAAATAATAATAAGTACAAGCATTGTTAAAAAAAAAAAAAACTATAAAAATATTGTAAATTAATTAAATATAAAATTTTTCATTATTTTTTATTTTATTCTAATTTCTTTTAAAATTTTGTTTGGATGTAAGTCAGAATTTTAAAATTTAAAGGAAAAAATATTATTTAAAAACTTTGGCATGTAAATTTGCCAAATGGTGCCAAATTGTACATTGATTTTGTACAATTTGCCAAATGGTACATAGATTGGTATACCAAAAATGAAGCACATTAAAATAGAGAATTATTTTGGCAATTGTCAGGACAAGACAAAAAATTAAGTTTTACAGAAGTTTATTTAAAAATATACTAATACGTTGACAAAAATAAGACAGTCATTGCACCCAAACAATACTTATTCTGATTTTTCTAAAATTTTGATTTATATCAGAATTTTGAAATATTAAGTGTGAAAAATATATTAGAACAAAACTGAAAGTAAAAAATGCAAAATTAATTAATATGCATACATACATATCTACATATCTTGTTCATGTCAAACATTACATACATTAAATTCTGACTTAAAAATCCTCTATTTTGGGACTCATTGTTGATTACTAGAGATCTTGTCTTGATAGAAATACTCATCTTGGGCAGATATTAACTGCATTCAGCTACTGTCTTGTAGAAGGCCTTCTAGGCAAAGATTTTAGAGTGGAGACCAGAAGGGTCTCAACCCTAAAACCTAATAGATAAAGAAAGATTTGAGACCAGCATCAAATCTCTTCTTTATCTATTAGGCTGGCGTAGATGCAAACATTTGTTACATTGTTTCCTGCCTATGATGATGAATGATGGATCTTCTTGACTTTTTTTTTTGCTTGTGCCTCCTTGATATCTCCTAATGAGGGTACAACTCTAAAACTCAGTTTAATGGTTCTGAGACTGGCTGGTAGTAAGGCTTCCCAAACTCTGTGGTAGCTCTCAGAGAGGCTGATTCCATCAACAGCTGAAAAATATCAGAATATTAACAGTACCATGTTGCACATGGAAGGTGTCCCTGTTAATGCTTTTGGTGTGCATTGTCAAGGCCACATAAGGAGCCCTACATTAGGACTTAGGGTTAATTAATGGAATTAAGTCAGCTGCATAGTTCATTGCTTGTAATGGTGTGCTCTATCTATAGATGAGTTTCCGTGCGACGTCACGCCTTTTTGTAAACAACATGCGTGCGCATACTTGTAGGTAGAAAAAATTAAAACGCAAGAACTTTAATGTGTTTCTTGTATTTTTTTTATACCCTAAAATCAATATTTGTACCCTAAAATTAATTTTTTTCTTTAAAAAATTATTAAAAAAATAATAATTAAAATTAATTACAAATTTTTCAGATAAATTTTAGTGATAAAAGTTTTTATTAATATTAAAAAATTTTTAAAACAGATGTTCTTTACAAATTCTAAACTCATTTTGGATTTAAAAATTGCTGTTGCTCTTGCGATTTTTCTACTCTTATAAGTTTATTCTGTTTTTGGAAGTCAACAATAACACTTAATTTTTCAAAATGGTTAACAATATCATGAGTGAATATTTTAAAAGTCTAAAATTAGAAGGACCAATAGACTACACAAAGAAGTTAACTCTTAAAAATGGGGAATTTTTACCGGATCTGTTTATAATCGAACCAAAAGAATGGAGCAACGATCTCAATCATTTGCCAAACATTACACGGCAAAACATTACTCAATATTTTATTGATACACCTAGCATATACACAAAGGAATCAATCAGAGCCTATAAATCCTTGGAAGCATATGATTACTTCACTTGTGGTCATGTTCAAGAATTTTTTTATAATAAAATATCGAATAGGAGCAAATTCTGTTTTATAAAATCAAAGGTTATTTTTAAAATATAATTAAAAAATAAATTTTTACCAAAGAGGAATTAATAATAATTTTTATATAGAAATAATCTTTTTGTAATAGGTCTTGCCAAGTCAAAGACAAAACAACAAAAACATGTATGATGTATGGACTTGTCTTGAGAAAGAACTTGGTTGGGTACTAACTGCTAATTGTTCATGTATGGCCAGACTAGGATCAGCTTGTAGCCATGTAGCAGCATTATTATTTAAATTAAAAGCAGCTTCACGTTTAAAATTACACAAAACTTCTCCTACAAGTATCTTGTGTACTTGGAAAAAATGCAAAAAATCTGTTTAACCTGCTTCCATTGCAGCTCATAAATTTTTGGCGACCTCAAAAAAATCTTTTACAAAAAGATTTGGCTGCAAAGCTACTTTTAAAAAAAACACTTTTCCAACAATAATCCAATGACTGGTGAGCACCGGTTAACAGCTAAAGAGATGGAAAAACTTTTTAAAATTAATCCAAAATCTGCTATTTTTACGAGTATTAATCTTACAGAATTTATGTCTGTTGAATAAGACTCAAGTGCTAC